AAGGATGATGGGAGAAGAGAAGAGCAACACCCAGAACTCTGACAACTGAAGGCAACTTTAGAGACTGGGAGATTTTCATCATATACGTGGAGAAAAAGAGAGAGCACACGGCATGCCCTGATCCAGGACTTCACAAGAGATTTTCATCACCACAGCAGAACACTACGGAAACGCACAGCACAACTTAGGCATCTGCGCTCTTGTTTAAGTGAATCTGAAACTGAAAGCATATGTTTTAAAAGAACTTAGCCTTAAACAACCATAACACTAGAACTCTCACGGAAGTGAACTTTTGCTGTCTAGAGTGATTCTCTTTGAATGAAGGAGAGGGAGCCCCAGGGTGAGTTCTCCCCACCCTGAACGGCTGTGCTGGGGTAAGTAGGCAAGTCCTCTGGCTCTGGGGCCTTTTCTTTCCCCTCCGACGGCATTCAGCAGCCAGCACTTTATATCTTTCCCTTGAAATGACTTTGTTCACAAGTGTCATCCATCACCAACTGAAATCATGACAGAATTTCATGTCATCCCTTAACTATTTTTTTTTCCTTTCTTTTTTTTTCTTTACTCTCCTGCTCCCCCTGCCTTGCTCTCTTAAAGAAATGGGAGCTTCGCATGCTGGGTTAAGGTTCCTCCTACAGTGTACTGCCTACTAATCACAACGGCTAATAATAATGAATGACAGTTCAGCACAGGGGAGGTGAACTTGAGTTTAACTAAACCAAAGACAGACCTAAAACACAGGAACCCAAGTCAGAGCCAAAGATAAGACGGGAACAGCTAAAACCTAGGGTTCAAGAAATGCTGGGCACAGTAGCATGCATCTGTAATCCCAGCACTTGAGTGGCTGAGGCAGGAGAAGTAATGTTTAAGGCAAATAATGGCTGCATGATGAGGTCCTTGGTCCTTTAGAAAAAACAAAGACAAAAAAACAAAAAACAGCCAAATTAGCTCATGAGTCAAAAATGTTCAGTAGCCTCTGGATAAAAAAACAACATCCTGGAAGAAAAGTTCAATTACAAGGTAAATAGAAATGAATGGTATGTTTATGGAATTTATTTTATCATCCGACGATGGTCTGAAAAACAGAATGCCTTCAAAAAAGGATGATTAACCAGACAATGGTGGTGCACACCTTTAATCCCAGCACTTGGGAGGCAGAGGCAGGCGGATTTCTGAGTTCGAGACCAGCCTGGTCTACAGAGTGACCAGCCAGGGCTACACAGAGAAATCCTGTCTCGAAAAAAAAAAAAGAAAGAAAGAAAGAAAGAAAGAAAGAAGGAAAGAAGGAAGGAAGGAAGGAAGGAAGGAAAGAGAAAAGAAAAACAAAAGGTGATTAATTCTCCGCTTATATACAGGATTTTAAGAAGATTCAAAAGTGCCCTAGGGTAGTGTTCCTAACCCCAAACCAGGGAAGCAAGCACTTCCAAGAGGCTCAAAGCTCTCTCCAAAAGGAGCTCACTAGTCTGCATGACAAGGGTCAGACTCACTTAGCAAGTCTTAAATTCACACTGGAGAGCAGGCAATCTGTTTACCAGGCCAGCTAAAGTAGCTCCCAATCAACAGAGGGGAAAGAAAGACAGATGTCCACTGCTCAAAAATCTCACTGTTCCTCTTACAAAATGAAGACACTGATTTACTACTTGCCCAAGGCACAGGAACCTTCTAGCATCTGAAGCGTTTGGTAAATGTGACATTAACAAATCCCTGCTTCACAACTAAGATATGTTCCAGAGGTGATAAGCTACTTTAAATTTCCATTTCTACCAGTATCACTGCGGAATGTGGGCTGACACTAAGCATGGGGTCAACAAACCTTGGAATGAGCAGAGCACATGCTGAAGGAGAAAGACATAAAGAAGACCTAATTCACAGCAGTCACGTCAGTCACATGCAATCTCCAAAACGGACAAGAAAAATACAAAGCAATAGAGAACGTCCAAGGTTAGAGAACTTAAACACCAGTCGTACTTGAATGCAACTATGTACTGCGTGCGCTCTCCTCGAGGTAATGCTAAACTACAGCAGACAAGGTTTTGCATGAACAGCCAGCCTTGAAATTCAATATACACACCTGCAGCTTAACCTTTTAACAGACTAAGCACACTATAGAAATGACATCTAAGTATCTATCAAGTAAACAAATGTATTTTTATATCCTCAACCAGCTTAACCTTGAAGAACTAGAGCAGTACTCATTTCAGCAGGTAAGTTTAAATCAGCAATTACTCAGTACCAATGAGTCCATCTGACATTTATCTTCCTCCCTTTGTTCTGGGAGAAGCAGGCACCGTGATTAACACTTTTAACAACTTGTCTCCTTCTTCAGCAAAACCTGGAGGCAAGGCCCTGATTACAGGAAAGGTACTGTGAGTCTGTGGGGCCAATTGTTCAAAACTGCTGTGTGAGGTCACATCAGGTTCTGCATATAGATTCCTCCTTTCATGGGACAAGGGCCATGGACTCGGGGAGAGAACTGAGGGTGGGGAACAGAGCAGAGAGTATCAGTCTGGGGGTGAAAGATCCCTTGGGGGAGGCAGATGTTCTAAGAGCTGGTAAATAGTTGATAATTGTGACTTCTATGACATAATGCTCTCACAAGATAAAGCCCCCAGTGGGCCATTGTTTCTTCTAAGAACAATGGTTTCCAGTTAACACATGGCACCCTCTGTGAGATGAGGCCATGCCCCAACCTGGAGATAATACACACTCATGGAATTAAAGGATTATTAGGATACCGGATGTCCACACACTGCCAAAATGTAAAACCATAGGAATAATGAAAGTGCAAGCGACAGCAGTGGCAGAGGTCGAAAGGGCACAGCCGCTCTGCTCCACACAGAGCTCCTATGTCCGTCAGCCTGGTGACCTCGGCAGGCTAGGAATAGTAGTATGTTCTGAAGTACCAGAACCAGCCCTCCTACCATCTCTAAATACATCAAGACCCTGAAGGGCCAAAGGTTCCAAGTTAAGTAAAGACCAAAGCAATGCATTTGTTAATTTAGCATCCTTTAAACTGAGAGCATCATTGTTTTATTTTATTGAATAAATACGTATCCATGTGTTCTATAGAGCTTGGGTACTACAGCAAGATGAAAGGGTTCAGAAAAATTAACTACTGCTAATTTAGGACAAACTCAGAGAGACTGATGGAGCCAAACACAAATGAATAAAAAGCACAGCCCTAAACCAACAGCTTGCTAAGTTGCATGCAGCTCCTACACTCACTGGTCCTAGCAAAAGGACGGAAAGCTAGAGTAAGAATGTCTCTGATGACCGCCGATCTAGCCCTAACTGGGCCATCGTGCCTGTTTGCCAAGTGTGATTTAAAAAAACAAAAAACAAAAAAAGCTACCAGCAGCCCTGGGCAACTCAGAGCTTGACAGAGACCAGACCACAGCATCTGCACAGCTTGAAAACTGCTTCCAAGACTGCTGGGTGCAGGCGCACTCAAGCTGTACACACCGTATAAACAGTCCGGTGGCTGGAGCTCCAGCAGAGCACCACAAAGCAGCAAACAGCCCAGGGGAGCTCTTAAGGGGCATTTCAAAGAAGGCGTAAATGTTAATGTACGGTTCATGATTTTAAAAGCCATGCACCCTCGTGCAGAGCCAGAGAATACAGAATATGAAGACTCCCAGTAGACCTCAATGGCCTTCCACTTCAGCTCTCTCTTAAAATGCAAACCAATTAGGCAGTGCAACTACTGTTACAAACAAGTTAGTGGCTGAAGCAGGACCCAGCTCTCCTCACTGGTTAGTCAATGCTTTTTCCACCCAGAGAAGGTGACCTTGGGGACTGGTGGAGGACAAAGACACAATTGTACTGGTCACTACACAGTCAGAAACAGGTGAGTCCTACTCAGTACAATGCCCATGCAAGCAACACACGGCTGAAATTCTGAGAGGAAAAAAATAACCTCCATAAATGAAAGATTATTTTTTTAAATTAACATTTAATTTGCAGAAGCCCTTGCTCTAATCTGAGTTTTGAGTGGCAATCCGCTGCTTCGGTCCCATTGAGATCTATGCATTGTGTAATCTGATTTAAAATGGAAGGCCAAACAGATCTGGAAAAGTACAGCTTTAGCCTTGAACTTAATTTATACTATAGTGTACTGTAATTAAGCCTGAAATAAAAGCTATATTCTGAGGAGAGACAAAAAGCTCTTGTTAATGGCATTCCATTCCCAATGTAGAACAAAACAAAAGGCTTCTTTATGTGAAGCCAACTGTCATTATACGTTGTAGCTTGTACGGTGCTACTGGACTAATATTTGTGCTGGGATTAGCGTCGGGATAACCAGTGAGCTAACTTCTCCACTCCAGTTTTCCTTTATCCTGGAAATAAATGGCCAAAAGGTAAAAAGAAAAAAAACTGGCAGGCAGAACGATAACTATATTTATGAGATTAAACTCCAAAACCTTTCACAGTTTGCTGGGTAACTAATAACCATTTGCTAAGCTGTTCATTTAATAATGAGTCAGTTAAGCCAACAGCAAATGTTCCTTCAAGCAGCCAATGCTCCTATAGTCAGATCTAGCAAACAAGCTCCAGTTCTTTATGTAAGCGCTTCACTTCAGATAAGAAATATAGGGTAAGCATGCAGGAGTAACCAACTTGTGACAACAACTGAGATGAAGTCTACTGTACATAATGAAAGAAAACTGCATTCATAGATGATTTTGTAATTTATAAAAGCATAAATGAGCAAAAAGTACTTTTGGAAGAATTCTTAGCTGTGTCATGAACTCTTAGAGAAGGGCCAGAAGAAGCCAGACACCAGACCCTGGAGTCAGAAATCACATGACCTCAGGGCAGAGCATACAAAGTGCATGGAGTGTCACACAGAGACCACTGGGGCTGTGCCGAAGCAACACTGCAGTCAGCGCTGTTAATCATGGATCGTCCCGCAGGGGAGAAGGAAGGGGTGTGGCTACCCCATCCATCCCACAAGCCCAGGGTCAGGAAGAGCAAGCAACAGGAGTCCCCTCCCTTATACTCACTAGGAGCTCATCCATACTCGTCTGGCATTTTTCCAGGTTGATCCGCTTTATGGCTACACGTTCTTGCCTGGGTTTGCATAGGGCTGCCTGAACCACCGCCGTCGCTCCGCTGCCTGAAACAAAGTAAAGAGGAAATCAGCTCCCATACACGGCACCGGCACGCCGCTCCCTGTACATCTCTTTCTTAAATGCCTGTATTTGAAGTCATTGACTGGAGGTGTTCAAAAAACGTTACCAGTGGCGTCTTCAGAGTCCTCGAAGTCCTACAATCATCAATCTAGAGGAGAAAGGGGGTCAACTGGATATTTCCAGCTGTTTCTCTTAGGGCATGGGAATGAGCAGGGTAAGTACAACTCTGCTTGAAGCGGTGAGGACCCTTGGGGTCCAGACTCTCTTCGACTACACTTCTATCTCAGGCTCTTCCTCTATTCAGTGCAATGCAAGCCAGCCAGTCCTGCCTGGGCTACTTCAGGACTTCCATCCGATCCTGAGACTTAGCATCCTGAACACTTCTGCGGGTTCAGCTCTTGCTCTACAACTAGAAAAAAACCAGAAATCTGCCCTCGGAGTCTCTTGCTTAAAACAGCTCTTAAGGATGCCAAGTGAAATAATGCCAATCTGTAGTAATAAACGCTCTTGTCATTCCTGGGAATTTCATATTTTTAAGGTCTCATGATCATTAGCTAATGCAGTTAAAACTCCTAAAAGACAGAGCCATGCTGCTATCCATATTTTAGACGAATGGAAGGTAGAGGGTTAATGATTTGTGGCACAACACCAGGAGCTTCTAATCAGATTTATATCCCACCAAGGCAAAAGACCCCAGAGCAAGGCATCTTAATTCTGCACATAATAGCAAAACATGGCATCCCAATCATATAAATAATTTGCCAACCCTACATATCCAATAAAAGAAACACAGTCTAAACTTAGGACTATACAACAGGGTATAGATATGACCCTCTAACCTTCCTCCAGAAGAGTGATTTAGGAATGATGTGCCCTCCACAGCCCGGTCAGCTGGGACCTAGGGGCCTTGGAGGATCAGCCTGGTACCCTCGATGCTCTCTACCCTCAAGGCTCCCACACATAGAAGCCCAACCTGTGTGAACCCCACGTGCTGAACACCCACAGCACAGTAGCAATGTAGCCATAAAATTCCCGTTAAAGCTTATACCTCTTTATTATCAGCCTCATTTTATATGTGAGAAAATGGGAACCTGGCAAAGTTGCCCCAGGTCACATAGCTAATATGTAAGTACTGGGCTGGGATCTGAGTCAGTGTGCCAGACGCCCACGTCTGTGCTCTTTGTCTACTTCCCACAAGCCGGGCACAGCCTGCCCTTCCTTGCTTGCGTTGGCCTTGCCAGGAAAATATTTCTTCAATACTAAATAGCTCAACCAATGAGAACCACCCTGGAGAAAAGGTGCAAGTGAGCCTCCATTTCAGGAGTAGGGACAGTACTGTTGTGTGACAGGGCTTTCCTTTCCCAACCCCAGGGCCTTCCATGAGCCTCAGTCCCACCAGACTGACCTCACTGGCCATAAATGTTCCAGATAAGCCAAACGCTACAAAGAGTCCCGCTGATAGCAAAATGTATTTCCCAGTCCCCAGAACAAGAGACTGTCAGTGAAGGGAGCCTCAGAGAAAGTGCTAAGTAGCTGGTTAGCAATGAGCCGGAGACCCAGCAGAGACATCCAGAAACGTTTTAACTAGCTGCTGGCAGCGTGCCATATCACTCTGACGTCAATTTCCATGTCCCTCTCTTCCACCCTTAATACGGTCTCCAGTATTTTCAAATCAGAGCAACTGAAGAACGAAAAGCAGGCCAGCTCCCAGAAAAGACTGAACAGGTGCATATAACATCAGGCCCTCCCATAGGCCCCTGACATACAACTTCAGGCTCAGACTCCCACTAATCAGTTCACGAATGCAGTCACAAATAAGAATTCTCCAAAGGGGGAGACGTGGGAAGTCTCCTGCTTTATAACAAGCATCTTACTGGTTAGAATTACAGACAACTAAAGAATAATGACTTTTATCTCAAGACAGGAAATATGAAGCTCTATGGCAGAGGCCCACTGCCATAGTAAGAACAGATAGAATCGTCTACTGAACAGTAGGGGCTTCCACTGTGAATCCAGAGACATTTTACAGAAGACGGCATCCTAAAGACCAAAGTCTACCCCTCACAGAGGTACAAGATAAGGAACTGTCCTCTCTCTTGCAATAACAGAAGAACGTAGACCTAAAACTCCAGGGCAAGGCATGCTGGTTAGCGTGTGTGTGTGTGTGTGTGTGTGTGTGTGTGTGTGTGTTTGTTTGTTTTGTTCAAGATTGCCAGTCAGTATACACTGGTGGGTCATGAATTCAGTGTTTAGGTGGGTGGAGGCTTTCCTTCTGAAGGGATGCTTCAGAATGGAACTTGCTAAGGAGAGCTAAGAACAGCTTTGTGCGGCTTTGGTTCAAAGCATGTTCTACTGTGAGTCGTAATCTAAACTTGGAAGCCTGCTACAACAGAGTGAAGAGTCTTAGGACTAAAGGAAATCCGTGCTTTGATGGGAAAGGGGGACGTGACCTGACAATTTTTCAAAGGGCCATTTAGAAATAATGAGAAGGCAGTTTTGCTTTAAGGATCTTTATGTACTTTGCTGAACAGATTAAAGGGAAGGCTAAAAATGTAGCCTTACAGATCCAATAAGTAAGCAAGTGTTAGAATGTGAAGTGGAAGCAAGTAAAGGGTTAAGCATAGCCTTCCCTTAATGCTGAACTACGACTCAGTAACATTTGATGGTGTGTTTCTAAGAACTATCATCCTTGGGAGTAGGGAGCCTTTAACATTTCTCATTTTATTCCAGACACCCATGCAACGTGAATTAAAATGTTCTATAGGATGGTGGCCCCTTGTGACGGACTAAGAAAGTTATGCCTTTCCATCTTGTCAGGATGTGTTAAGTCAATATAGATTTTTTTTTCTGGTAATTTTCTGGTAATTCCTGGCAAAGAACAGCTTCTAAGTTTTAGATAGAAAGTATGGTGGTTGCAGCCAGAGGCAAAGTTTCCTTGAATTGATTATCAAGGTACAAGTCTATCTCTGTGGGCATGTGTTCTCATTTCCTTGTTCCTACTGTTGCTTGAACTGAGGCAATCACCAGAAAACTCCATAGCTGCATTCACACACCAAGTTACCCAAAGGAATGCTTCTTGGATATGTAATTCAGTGTCTTAACTTTGGATTTTGACAAGTATTTAAGAAACTAACACGGACTCCAGTGCTTCTTCTATTAAAAGAAGAAGGGAAATCAGAGACTGAGATGTAAATTTCATCTTCAACTCTAGCAATTGTCTTAGTTTGGGTCTCCTGTAACTCCTCCTCACCCAGCCCTCAGCACCTTGTTCCTTCATACTTACCTCAGAGGTATTTCCATTACATAAACCAATGTTCACAGAGCCTAATGCAGCAACAACCCCTTGAACCCATTCCCTGGCTACCTCATTTCAAGGAATAGGCTTAACAGCCACAAGAAAACTTCACTGATATTAATTCTTCACCTATATGAATTCATCAGCAAAACTAACAGTGACTAAAATTCTGTTGAGTGGTAGGCAATTCACTAGATGATAAAAGTCCAAAGGTGGCTGCTCCTGACACAAGCTGGATAAATCTTTCATTTTGATCATTTCCTATGCAGAATAAGGATGGGATTGGTAGCTACAGTGGTCTGAACTTTTGCTACAGATTAAGAACACATATGGTAAAGCACCAAAGCATGATAAATTTAGAGAAAGGGCCTCTTAGGGGCATAGCAATCAAAAGTACATGGGGAGGGGACGATTAGCATCACTAGAATTGACAAGGAAGTACTCACTCTCCTCTCTCCTCACTCGGAGAAAAGGTACTGAGTCTGCGAACGAGTAAGACAGACTCACAGAAATCACTCTGGACAGCACCTTGAACTGCACCGTCTAGCCTCCTGAACTGTAGAAGTAAATTTTAGTCTGTGCTTCAGACCACTTAGTCTACGCTATTTTGTTACAGCAGCCTCGGAACACTGACACAAGCCATTCAATGTCTATTCTAAGCCACTCCGCCTCTGACACCTGTGGTGAATGCCATGCTAATTACAAGTTCTGACCTAACTAAGTGTATAACCAGAGGCAAGAATCACCTGAAGTGCCTTTGCTACATCACTGTAGTTTCCATATCATAGGTTAGCAAGACCTTTAGAAACGACGTTAGATAAATGTCTTAGTCACTGTTCTACTGCTGTCAAGAGACACAGGACCAAGGCAATTCTTTAAAAGAAAGCATTTAATTGGGGGATTGCTTACAATTTCAAAGGGCTAATCCATAATCATCATGGCAAAAGACTGAGAACCATGACAGGGAGCATTAGCTGAGAGCTTTACATCCTGATCTGCAAGGGGGGGGGGGGGGAGACAGAGACAGAGAGAGAGAGGGGCAGACAGACATTTGGGCTGGCGTATGCTTTTGACCTTAATGTGCTTCCCAGGACACACCACCTCCAGCATGCCACGCCCACTCCAGCAAAGCCACACCTCTTATATCTTCCCAAATAGTTCCACTAACTGGAGACCAACCATTCAAACATATGATCCTACGAGGCCATTTTCATTCAGACCATCCCAATTAAGATTCTACTCATTAAAGGTATGGATTTCCTCTGTGACTTTGGATCTAATATCTAAACTTCAGCTTCCTTAATAAACTAATAAAATCCACTTGTGTGGCTCAACAGCAATAACGTGTTTCACATCCCTAAAAAGTAAGAGCCAACTGAGCAAATATAAGATGCTCTTGCTGGGCCTCACTGTTCCCAGCAAACCAAGAAAAGGGCCAACTTTACCTACAGGCTGTGTGTGCATGGAACCTAAAGGGCTCAGGCCAAAGTGCTCCCGCTCAGCATAGCTTTCGTTCTGCTTAACATCAAGAAGACTCTGTTGATTTGAAGGGAAAGAAAAAGCACTGAAGTTGGAAGCAAAATGCTAAATGCTTCTTAGGTCTGATGCAACATGATAAACAGGAGAACCTAAAATGTAAAAGACCACTCAGACCACTCAACAGCAGGGATGAGTTAATATTCTATAGCT